TGACTGCCCGTCTGCATCAAGAGTGCAGAGGGGACGTCCACGAAAGGCTTATTCTCCTTAGACAGGGGTCTTCTCCAGGTGTGAGGAGCATAAAGCAGCAGACCAGCTTGTTCTGTCCTGGCAGCTGCCAGTCCTGATTCCCACCTGCCCCGAGCCTTCTAGACCACGGGCACCACCACCTAGGAGCAGCGAACGTGGGCCAGCGGCCAGGGAGGCTGGATCTCGCTGCCAAGTTTCCATCTCAGCTCCTTTCCCGAATCTCCATGGAGGCTCTCCCACCCCCACCCCTTGGCAGTGAGACCCTGCCATCTGAGCCTGCCTGTGGCTACCCTTCGGAATGGAATTCAAAAGTCTGCAGTGTCAGTCTCGGCCATTGTGGGACAAGTGGGCAGCCCGGCCCAAAATAGCTGGGAGAGGCAGAATGTTAGGGCCGCAGTGGGAAAAAATCAGTGCTGCTAATGACAGGCTGTGCTCTTCTGGAATCAAGGGTCCCGCAGACTTCGACCAAGGTCACATAGTTTGCTGCAACGACGAGAAAACAGACATGGTAAGCAGCGATGACATGCCCAAGAGCAAGGAATCGGCACACAGGAGGTTACAGCGTGTCCTGCCTCCTGGGCGTCCATCCGAGAGAATGTTCTCCCGTGGGTCTCTGGGCTTTACATCCCATGAGCTGCCCTTGTCTGAGAAGATGGAGCCACTTGGGGATATTCAGGAAGCCTTTGAATCTTGGCCTTGGCCCAGACATCCTTTGTGTAGGTATGTGCTCCCAGGGAATTCCAGGATGGGCGTGGCCCATCTGGGAGCCCACGAGAGCGACCTTGTGGGGCGGAGGTGAGGGGGGCCTCATCATTCTGGTTGGCCCTGGCCTCTGACCGATCACAAGGCTGATGAAATCTCCCCCAGATACTGCATCTGGCTTTGGATTCTGATTTGTTAATGCGAGGGGTTTGTTTTGCTTTGTTTTGCCATGACTCCTGTCCCAGTTCTGATCAGGACTCTGTCCAACAGGAAGACACTTGCTGAACCGAGAAGGTTCTGTCTTGGTTGGTTGGGGGCGCTATGGCTGGCCATGGAAGAGAATCAGGCTGTCTGCAAGACTTCCCCTGGTTTGCCAGATTTCCCGTCTTTCCTCCTCAAAATTTTAAACCAGTAAATGAAGCCGATGACAAAGGGCCTTAGGGCCCTGGCCAGCTCTGTGGTTTGATCTTTTCTTTCCTTTGTTGAAGGTGGACTTGCATTTCTCCGGAGCCTGGCCTTGTGGGTTGTCGCCCATCTGCCTGTTGGCTTGAGCTGTGGGCCTTAAGCTGCTGCCCACCATGCGCTCGGACCTCCGTTCCTGGGCTCCCGAGCTTCCCACGCCTCTGAGCCTTCTGTTCCACACGGGGATCTCGGGAAACCCCAGCTCTTGTTGCCACGTTTAACGCCACCCCCTCCCCCAGTTTCTGCCTCAAGGAAAATGAGTAATCCCTTTTCTAATCTCTTGGGAGTTGTGGGGGCTCAAACCAGGAGGAGGGAGGGAAGAAGACTATACGTACAATAACGATAGTTATAGGGACCATTCCAGCACTTTGTACCTGCTCCATCAACCCTTCATCGACTGTGTGAGAAATTATAGTTTCGTAACCGTCTGACAACTTAGTTTCCCCCTAAATTTGGCACTAACGAATTTGACAGAACAATGGGACTCGAACTGTGAGGCTCTGAATGGCCTTCCTTTATCCCACGGCCGAAAACGCTAGTATCCAATGAAGGGGTGCTGCCCCCAAAACCACTGGGGTGGAGCCTCTGTGTTTTATTTGCATCTTATTCTGAGCACATCTGGCCTCACAGCTTCCATATCAGAGACCCATGGACCTGTCTCTGCTTTACAGATAAGGGAACTATAAGGCCCCGAGAGCTGGGGCAGCACCCCCAAGCTGAGGACTCCCAGCCTTCCATTAGAATGGGCCAAATGCAGCTGGAGGAGATGCCCGTTATGTAGCCGTATTTCTAGAGCTCTATCGTGGACCCCCAGTCCACGTCTTCGAATTATCTTAGAGGTAACTGTCTTTTAGTTCTTCAGTGCCAAAACCATCTTGGATGGGGTGAAGGCAGGGGGCAAGTCGTCCATCTCGGCATCTGTTTCTCTTTCATGCCGCTTCAGCTTCGTGTGCGCTGAGGTCTGGTCCGGGTGAGGCCCTGGGTAGGGCAATGGGGAGCTTTGCCATTGCATCCAGGGGTTCCCGGTTCACTAGAGTTCTGAAAAACACGCAGACCCTCACACGTCCGGGAGGAAGGTCTCCCAGGGGCTACACGGAGATGGAGTCCCTTCTGCTTCGCTTCCTGTGGTGTCCCCCGGTCTCCTTGCTGCAAAGGCTATTTGAGGACAGAGTACCAAGGGACAGTCAGTCCCTGTGCTGGGCCTGGGTCTTGTTGATGGTAACAGAGCCGACGAGCTTATCTCGGGGTTTTCCTGTGTCGATAATCAACCACGGATGTAAGTGTGGCCAAGCCTCAGACACGTGCAGCTGCCGAGCCTTCTAACACCAGTGGAAACAGCATCTCTGGTGGGGACGGGTGTTCTGAGTCTTGCCCGAGTGTCCATGAACTCCTCTTGGGCCGCTCAGAACCGGAAGCATGTTTACCCTTTGCTCCCACAGTGGGTTGCTGGAGGCCAGGTCTCTGTGGAGTGGCTGCTGGGCACTCACTGGCTCCACTGCCAAGAACCTCTGTCTTCTTCCATCTCCACGTCCTTAGCTGCCCTAGCAGGCAGGTGTGCCTGGTGGCTGTCAGGTGGGCACACCCCCTTCTCCCCTTTGATTCCTTAGCCTTTAGGAAGTTCCATGGCAAGGGGCAGTGAGGTGCAGGCGCTTTGCTTTGCCCTGAGCACCCCAAACCAGCACCCCAGTCTCTATGGCCTCTGTCCAAGTGAAGCCAGAGAGAGGGGCCCTGGGAGGAGGGATGACTGAACAAGGGCGGGTATGACATCCAAGTAGATTGGCGAGGACGTGGGAGTGAGGGTTCAGAAAGAACAAAAAAGAAAGAAAGCTGTTATTATCATAGCAGAGTTCTGCTTGTCTGGCCAGGTCCTTCCTCTTCTCATGATGTGGTAAGATTCCAGAACAAGCCAGTCTGGCTCAGATTTTGGGGATGGAGACCAGCCTGACCTGGGGCAGCTTCTGGGAAACCTGGGGCAGCTACCAGGCTGTGAGGAGGGGCCAACGCACTTGTTTAGAAAGAACTTTTGTATAAAATGGAGAAAATATTCGAGTTTCATATCCAGGAATGAGACTGAGAAATGCCACAGTCCCCCCGGCCCCGCCCTCGACTCTCACTGCCCTCTGGAAAATCTGCTGCTCCCAGCTGGGGGTTCCCAACCTTTGGATCACAAAGCTGCCTAAGAATCTGATCAAAGTGACACACCATTGCTGTCCAAAAATGTACACACGTGCACACGTGCAATTTTGCATTCTGTTTTGGGGGTTCACAGATTTCCCCAAACCGGGCCAAGGTCCCTGGACCCCAGGTGGAGGCCCTGACTGAAGATGTGTCTCAGGTCTGCCACCGTCTGGGGACTTGATCCCGGCAGTAGGTTACAGGTAACCCCGGAGCTCCTGGAAATCCCATCCCCCTGCCTCCAAGCAACTTGGGGTGTCCAAGCCTCCTTGCCCTGGGCTCCCGGCTGCCCTCACATCTGGGCAGACTTCCAGACCCTTGGAGTGGCCACTGCAGTCCCAGCCTGGGCTGGCTTCCCAGGGTGGCCTTCCCCGCCCGCCCGCTGGGCACGCATACAGTTAATCCTCCGCGGCCGCTGTTTGGATAAAATGCGCTGGGAGCCTTGGAAGCTCCAGGCAGCTCACATCTGGCTGGGGTTTGCTCTTTACGCCTCTGTCCCGCTTTCTTCGGCTCTTCCTTTACTTTCGAGAAACCGCGTTTCCGCTTCTGGCCAGAGAGACCTTGGAGCCGAGGAGGTCAAGGTGCCGGGAAGGGACGGGCTGCTGCCTGCACCAGCCTCCCCTTTTCTGCGCCCTCTTCCCGGAGGACTTTTTCCTTCTTCTCCTTCGACAAGTCTGTTCTTCCCCCGACCTGGCCCGGAGGAGGCTCCGTCGCAGGGAGATGCTCTAAGAGGCGGCGCTGGGAGAGCCCAGAGGCCGCGGGGAGGACGCCGGCTGGAGGTAGGTGGCCGGGCGGGGACTCGGCGCTGCCTTGGCTCCTTTTGGGGCTCCAGCCTGGTCGCCAGAGCAGAGTAGAGCAGATACCTTAGCTGCGGGGCGGGCGAGGAGCCGGGTGGGAGGGGCCCGGGTGGCGGTTGTGGCAAAGAGGCAGAAAGAGCTGGAGTAGCAGGGAGGTCCCCGTGCCCCTTTTTGCTGCTCCCGTCAGTAGCGGAGGTGCCGTGCAGGGCCAGCCTCGGGCTCCCCCTGTGACTTGGGAGCAGGGGCTCTGTGGCAGGGGATGCTGTCAGGAACAATCGGATCTCCCGCCTCCCCTGTGTTTTGTGGGGTGCTTATCTTGCCTGACTCTTCTCTGGTGCTTTTCTGAGGGCGTGAGAGGAAAAGAAATGGTACCCGAGTCCCCTCTGAACCTCTGGGGAGCCCCCACCCCAATACCGCCTGGACCACCTGAGAGCCAGGTTTGTCCAGCCCTGCCTTCGACCAACTTGGACCACATACAGAAAAGGAAATGCTGACTTGGGCCCCGGCATCTAATGGTTTTGGGGTTCCTGGAGGGGATCTGGTCTGGATAGGGAAGAAGAAAGTCCCGTCCCTGGGGACCTTCCCGGGCGGCCCACACTGCTGAGTGTGGCCCCTGGTCTGGGGCTGAATCCCTGAGCTGGCCACACCTCTCTGTGTCGACCCCCCAGCCCTTCCAGGGTGCATCTCCATGGGTGCAGGTGTGCGCCCCACCTGCCCTGGGCACCCACCCCGTGCTCGCCTGGGCCCCGCCATGCCAATCAACCTGCAGCTCCTGGGTCTTCCTGACCGGCTGGCAGGGACCTGTTTCTGTCTCACTTGGTGCTTGAGAACGGAGGCTGTTGGGCACACTTGGAGTGTCCTCCTTCTGAGCTTTGAAAATGACGAGAGTCTGAGAAGCTGCGTTTTCTCAACCGCTAACTATGTCCCTAGCTACGTCCCAGGTCCCTGGGGGAGGATGTGAGGTCCTCAGAGGCTGTGGGCCTTTGCTTTTTATAGTGCAGGAAAGCTCACAGCCAGTCCTATGTGCAAGGTCACAAGCAGATGCACTTGACTGTTGTGTGTGCTACAGGGAGAGGCCTGCTGTGGCCAGGAAGTTCGTTCTTCCGGAGGCCTGCTCAATGTCCCTGCTGACTGAGAGAGCGGGGAGAAAACACAGGTGATGGGGCGATGGGGGCATAGGGTTGAGTGGCCCCCTCTCACCTCCCTTCCCTACTCCCTCTCTTGGCCTGAGAACTGAGTGGAGCTTAGCCATGGATGTGTATGTGTGTGTGTTACCCGCACGTCGGGTCCCGAGCAAACATTAATTCTCAACAGTTCTACCAATGGCACTTCCAGCCTTGAAACGCTCAGAGAGGCTCATGCGTTGCCCAGAGGCAGTCGCTGGAAGACCTGGGACTCAAACCTGCATCTCGGTGCACAGAGAAGGGATGTGGCTTGCTCGAGGATGCACAGCTCTCCAAGCCTTGGCTGGAACCCCAAGCTTCTTGAGTTCCCACATTGCCACTTCCCAGCTGCCCACAGAGACTGTGCCCCGGAGCAGGAAGGACAGCCCATTTCTGCTTGCCGGGGACCCTCGCCGTCTCCTCGCGTGCTCTCTCTCCTCCTTTGCTCGTCTTGAGTCTCTTGTGATGCCAAGGAAGGTGCTCCTGGTAAACAGCACTTCGGGGAGACAGAGAACCCTGGCACAGGAGGTCTTGGGTGGGCCCCTGTGCACCAGAGGGTGCCACTACCTGTCTGGGGCCAGGGCCACCAGCCAGCGAGTGGCACCTCATAGGTGGGAGCCGAGAAAGCTGACCTGGTCCCAGGGAAGGCACGGGCTCCTTGTTCCTGGGACATCACCTCACTATTCAGGACAACCAGCACAGCATAATTTTTTTTGGAACATGCTTCTTTCTGTTGTTCTTCCTGGTGCCTCTTGCCCTCCTTCAACCGCCCCCCCCCCGCCCCCAGCTGTAATTAGCATGACTCATAAACCAAATATTCTGGCATTGAACTTCACCCATCAAAACAAAGATGAAAAGAATTTCGTAGATACAGTGTTGCTGCTGAGCGTCCGCCCTGGACATGTGCTCACCACTGCACTTTTGTCTTCAGGGGCTGGTCCCTTGTGTGGGTCCCTGTTCCTAGAGCTGGGGGTGGCTGAGGTTCCTGGAGCTAGGGGACGGATGGGAGTGACAACTTGCCAAAGAAAGGAAGCACAGAAAGGGTCCGGGTGCCCAGCTCTGCTGACTGCCTGAGACAGCTCTGCCTGCCAGTCCACTGGAGAGAGACACACATCTCGTTTTGGAAGCAGCCTCAGCTCCCGACCCTGAGAGCCCAGAGATAGTTAAGTGGGGGTGATGGCCTTCCAGCACGCTTCATCTTGGTGGCGTAACTATCGCGTGAGCTGAGGGTTATTATTTTTTCCCTGTTTTTCCCTGCTGAAGTCTGCCTTCTCTTAAAATCAAATGAGACGAGGCACCTTCCTGACCCCTTGCATGGGGTGAGGGGTCCTCTGCCCACTTAGAGAACAATTTGCAAAAGACCCACAAGGTGCTTCCTTCCACGCTCTCTCGGGCAACCCACAGAGCCAGTCCCATGAGGCCCGGGATTTAATTCTCGGGGCCCGGCCCAGGGGTCTGTGTTGGGGTCCTTGGCCTGGCAGGGCCAGTTCTGCACGGAACCACAGACCTGCGAAGTGGGGCACGCTGGCTCTTTCCTTCCTTCTGAGGCCCCACAGCGAAACTTCTGCGGGTGCAGCCTGTGTCCTCTGACCCTTACCTTCCTGCCTCTCAGGGACAGCCTCGGTGGTGTGAGCAGGAGTGGGGGCTCTTGTGCCCTTTGGGGGAAATCTCTATCTCTGGGTCCCATCAAGTTTGCACCTGAGAGATGCCTGTGAAATGGGAGATGTGTGGCTCCCGGCATCCCGCTAAGCCACTCATCCTTGCCCACACTCACTTTCCAGAACTGGGCTCAAAGCAGGATGCCTGTGGACAGAAGTGCTGGAGAACCCCCACTCCCCCACTGCCCACCAGGGGTGTCCCTGTTCTGTCCTGGAGGGCCTGGAGTCAACCCCTTCTCCAGCTGGGACTGGCACAGTCCTACTGGGGCATCCTGCCCTGTCCAGGACGGCTGTTGGGACGGCTGTGGGCCAGGCTGGGCCTCGGTGTCTAAGCATCTCCTTGGCTCCTGCAGGAATTTTCCTTGAAACGAGACAGAGCAGAGCAAGACACTGTGGGCAGGAAGGATGGGAAGACAGGCAGACAGGCAGACAGGCGGGCGGGCAGTGGGGAAGGAGAGGGCATGGGGAATTCAAGTTCTTGGAGCCTTGTGCTGGGTCCAATGACGCTGCCACTGGTAAAGCCACACTTGGTGGAATGCCCCAGACCTTTCGCTTTGGGTTACACCCTCGCCCCAAGTGGGCACACCTGGTTACCAGCCGCCCTCTGCCCTGGGGATCAGGGAAAGAACAGACCTCACCTGGGGAAGCTGCCAGCCCTGGTGGGTTTGCAGGCAGGTGCAGGCCAGAAGTGGGGCTGGGCTGGGCCCGGCACCTCTGCTCTGTGGGTTTCTGGGGCTGGTCTTCAGAGTTGGGGACGGGGGTGTGCTTGGAAACGCTAGGGCCCTTTGTCTTTGTGAAGCATCTCAAGTGGGTTCTGGTGAGAGATGGGTGGATCTGGGTGGGTTTCGGGGTGGCCATGGGGGTCTTGGATCTTCTGGCATACAGGACTCCCCTCCCCCATGAAGGTGGAGCTGTGAGAGCAAGACCCATGGTACTTAAAACCAGTGTAGGTCCCAGACTGCGGAGACTCAGAGTGGCACCAGCAGAGCGGGCAGAGCCAGGCCAGGCAGCTGGGGAGAGGCCAGAGTCCCACGCCCGCCCTCCCCCTTTCTGCCCGTTCTCCTCTCCTGTTTCCTCCTGCTTCCAGTTCTCTCTCTGCAGGTACCCCTACCAGGGGGTCCACCCAAGGAGACCCCAGGTGGTGTTCCAACGGGATTCTACCCACCAGAGGGCGTTGGGGGTGGGGTGATCCCTTCGCTATCCTTGCTGGAGGTGGCTTTTCCCCTCCTTCTCACAAGCGCACCAATGCCGATTTCTCCCCTGCAAAAGTGGTGCCCTAAAAAACGCACATTCAACGCCACACTGCCCAGGCCCCTTACATTTTGAGGTATGGGGTGGGGGGGAGGGTTCTAGTGATGCTGTGCCAAATCCAAAGGAATTAAACTCTAGTGGTGGGTTTGAAGATGCTGGAGGCTGGCATCCCTGGGGGGATCTTAGCACCCTGCTTCAATGAAGACGGCTATCAGTGCTGTGCCTGGCAGAGAGCAGGCAGGCACTCAGTAATCTGTTGAATGAATGAATGAATGAATGAATGAATGAACTTACCCAGCTGGTGGTAAGTTCCTCAGAGCCCATCACCGCAGCTGCTGTTGCAGGTATAGCCAAGGCGGCTAAGCGTGGGCGCCCAGTGGCTGGGAGCGCCTGCTGGAGCGGTGAGCCTGTCCTATCTACTATCTTTCTGGAACCCCTTGAGGGGAAGTGGAACGCACCTTGCTGTCAGGCACCCCTGGGTCTCACCTGAGCTCCAGCCCCTCCCCACTGTGGGGCGCAGGGCGCAGGGCTCCCTCACTCTGAGCTCGCTTGCTCATCTGAGAAATTGAAGTGCATTGTAGGAATCACATTCAATAGTGTACGTACGTTTTACGTGTTACGTATTTACGTAAAGCCCTAAAGCTCCGTGCCCAGAGTCCGGCCCTTGTTAGAGGAAACCTCTGCTAAATGGTGGCGGGCGCTGCGCCTGGGTCTTTTGTGCGGCGTGCCTGCAGTTGGGCTCAAGGATTTGGCTCCATGGCCTTGGTTTCATGGCTGCAGGCGGCTTCCTCCCGAAGCAAGCGCCACCAGGAAGTGGTGTGTTGAAGACAGAGCAGCGCCCCTGCTTCCATTGTAGAAAACGCGAGCTGGCCTGACTCCAGCCCAGCGTAGGCGCCCCTCCCGGCCTTGCCCGGTCCACAGTAACGCCGGGGCTGCTGCCATCCTTCCCGCTTATGGTGTGTCTAGAACCCAGCCCTGCCCGGTTCGTGGGAGACACTCAAGGAACACGCGGGAAAGAGCGTGGACGGCAGCACTGGGTCCCTTTAGATTCCGAACCGTCCCACTTGAGCCTCCAGTTTGCCCCAGCAGCGTCCCCACGGCCCCTCCTCCGTCCTGCTCCTCTGTGCGTAGAGGCAAGTTCCCTGGAATAAGTAAAATGCTCCCTTAGGCCCAGGGCGGGGCTTAGTTGTCATTTTTTTTCTAAGTGGAAAATAATGTGTACTTAATGGGGAAAAATATGTGACTGTTATAAGGCCAAAACCCAGAGAAGCCCAAATGAGAAAATGGCAAACATCATGTTTTCATCACCTACAGATAGATAACTGCTGTGAGCCGCCAGGTGGGTGGCCTCCAGGGCTCCGTGGGCGCGTGTGTGTGTACGTGTATTTACACATGTGTGTTTGCAACCTGCATTGTCACGCATCACCATTCATGACCGGCTCTCCATGTCAGTAAGGACTCCTCTGTGCACAGAGGTCACTAAAGGGTGCTGCTGGCAGAGTTGCCCCTCCCCCCAGCATTATTTACTTATTTAAATGCGTTTCCTGGTTCTCTGCTAGCCCCACCCTCCCGGGTACGTTGCACCAACCCACTGAGTTTGCCACCCTGATTCTCCGCCTTGGTTCTTGTTTTCCATCGTGGGGATGCACCATTATTTATTTAACTAGACTGTTTTGGCAGGATATTTAGGTGGTTTGTAACCTTGGCTAATGCGGGCAGTGGGTTGGAACCCTTTCTGAAGCAGCAGATTTTTCTGAGTGCAAATGAGAGGAGCGTTTGAGGAAAAGCTGGTTAGATAGGCTGCACCAGGTTTCTGTGTTCTGATGACACTTAATAGTGTGCCCTGGGTCACTCCGCCCCATCCCCCAAACCAGGCCATCCCTGACTAGGGAGATTGGAACACACTGGCTGAGGCTGTTGTAAAAAGCGTGGGATCCCCGAGTCCTCTTTGGATAATGGTTCCGCTCCTTGCGAATGGCTGAGCAGTGAGTGGGGAGGTCAAGTGATACTGAAAGTCAGGTGCCAGGCGCTGGACACATGTGAGAAATGAGACCCAGCTCGTGTTTTCGAGGAGCTCCTGAGGAGCAAGTGACTGTCACAGACCGCACAGACCGTCTGGGCGGAAGCTTCCTGGAGGAGGTGGCGTCAAGCTGGGCTCTGAAGGACACATCAACGAAGGAGGTGGCAGGAGAAAGAGAGCACGAGACTGTGTGACTGACTTGTGTTGGGGACTTCGAGAGGCTCCAGGTGGCTGGAGTGAAGGACACATGTGCAGGGGTGGGGACGACAGGGTCAGAGGTGACGCCGGAGCCGGATGGAGATGCTCAGGGTTTCGGGGTTTCCATGTCTCCTTCGTTTCCATGGGAACCCTAAGCCAAGGGTGGAGCTCAGATCTGCAGTTCTGAAAGCTGCCTCTGGTGAGCAGTTTGGATGGGAGGCGGGAGACCAACAAGAAGCTGAGAAAGAAGTAGTGACAGAGGCCGAGGGGGTGGGCAGGAGAAGAGACCTGGGGGAGGGCTGGTGACACGTTAGAGGTGACGGGCATGAGCGGTGGGGTCCGGATGGCTCACCGGTTTCCGGTCTGGGCCCTGTGTGAAGGGCACTGACTCACACTGAGCCGGAAGCTGCAGGAGGACTGTGTATGGTGGGGTCTGGGGGGAGAAGAAAACGAGTTAACTGGGGCTCAGGGGTCTTCGGACAGAGCAGAAAGGAGGTGTTCAGATGGTTGACTACCTCGCTGTAGCTCAGTGCTGCCCGATAGAACTTACTGCAGGGAAAGGAACGCTGTCCCAGCTGTGCTGTCCAAGAGGGCGGCCGCTTAAAATGTGCTCGTGTGCCTAAGAGCTGAGTTGTTCCTTTTGTTTAATGCTAAGTAACTTAACTAGACCCATGGGCTAGTGGCTACTGCTTTGGAGAGCAACCAGGCCGGGGTGGGGATGAAGATTGGGGAGCTGTTAGCTGAAACCATCGTGTATCAGGTGACGTGTATCAGGTGACAGGCAGAAAAGGTGTTTGGGGTGAGAGGAGCTGAGAGCCCAGGCCATAGCCTGGAAAACAGCCGTCTCTAAGGGGGAGACCGGGAAGGGTAAACACGGGGAACAGGGTGGCCGGCGCAGGGCTGGAGGAAGAGCTGGCCATCACCGGCAGGCCCTCTAAAGTGGACACACGAGCCTCTGTAGAGGGCGCAACGGCCTGAGTGCTGTGGGCATCTCACAGCATCTCAGCGATCTCAGCTAGAGCAGCCTGGCTGCACCGGGCAGCAGGACTGTTGGACGCTGAGCTAAATGATGTTCTTGACCTAGAAGCCAGTAGGCACGGGACAAAGTTTTATCTCTCACCAGGCTTCCTCTGGAGATGCCTGTCAGATGCTGAGGTCATGTCCAGGCCCCAGACAAGCAAGGACATTCGTACCGCTTGTGAAAGGGCTGGTGGGACCCAGGCCGTGGAATTCCCAGGTCCTATCCTCCCTCTGTCTGGGGAGTGGTCAGTCCCTGAGGGTGTCCCAGCTGTGGGGAAGTGGGCTGTGGGCCAGGCCACCTGTAGAGCGGGCTCAGGAGCAGCAGCACAAGCTGTCACTGGCTCTTCTCTCTCACACGGTTCTCAAAGCAGCCGCAAGACTGCCGCCCGAGGCCCTACAGCTGGGAGGTGATCTAAGGACAGTGCTCTAGTCAAGGAAATCTTTGTTTGCACTGGGGACGGAATTGGAGCTGTGGAGGCTAGGCTGGCCAGGTGCCCCCGGAGGCCCGACGCCTGCAGCCCACGTGGTCCCCCTGTCTGTAGGGCCTGGGCAGAATCTTCCACTGTGTCTGCTCTCTGTTCCAGGTGAGACTTTCCTGGCCAAGGTGCAGTTTGTTGCCCCAGGAGAGAATGGAGATGTTCTAGGATGCGGGTGGGGGGGATATCTTGGCCTTCCGTTCCTTCACTGTTTTGTCCCAAGCCAGACCTCGCTCTTATGTAGGGATAGGAAGCACTTGTTTATCACTGGAAGACCCCATCTCCACCCCTGGCTGTGGGCCTCAGAGGTAACCAAATAAACCCCAAACCTTAAAAAGGAAACCCTTTTCCTCTAAGCCAGAGAGCATCTTCTTGGAAAAAGGAAAAGGGAATCAGCACGTGAGATGGGGGGCCAGGACACCCCTCCTCTTGGGAAAGGGACTGCTCACCTCCAGGTGACCGGAGTTCCTCTCATCAGGGATCCCATCCCCTCACTGCTGCTTCCTCTACAAGATTGGGGGGAAGCCGGGAAGGGGCGGAGACCTGCAGGGGCTGCCCAATCACAGAAGGGAAAATCAGATGTGAACTGGGCTTCTGGATTTGGTGAACAAACGTCATTTATCGGCGGGAAGTCACTCTGCCTCCCCCCTGCTCATCGCCAGAGGAGTTTGATAAGTGGAGAATTAGTGTGA